CTTGAAAGCCCATTTTTCACTTGTTTTGACAGTGACACTCGTTCTCCTAAGCCTGCTCAGTGCCAGGTCCCAGCTGTGGTGGGAAGAGCTGTACCCAGCCAGCCCATCCACCCAAGAGTAGCCAGTAGCACACACAGCAGCGAGTCCATGAGAATACAGCAAATGCTGGTTCTCTCACAAGCACTCTCGAATCTCCAGCGATTCGTGACTCAAGAACATCCTCAGTCAGAGGCTTTGTATTTAACAACCCTCCGTGGAACTTTCTCTGTAGATTTCTCCTGTGCTGCACAGAACTGAAGCAGGCTTCCAGCACCCATGACATTCCGTAGTGAGGAATGTGACGGTGTAGGTGAAGATCTGTCTCCTCTTCAGAACCTGCTCCCTCCTCCCTTCCTTTTACCATCCTTTGGTTTTCTATCAGGAGAAGACAAATGACTGTTGTCAAGTCACTTTCTCAATGACACCTAGAGACCTCTGTGAATCCTCCCCCATTTCCCTTTGTTGTAGCATCCTGGGAGGCACAGTCTATTCTGCTACAGCTCACTGGAAACTGTTCCCATTCCCCTGATTGTCTACAACTCTCCTTACCACATCTTTTCAGTTCTGCCACATTCTGTCTGGACAGAGAAAGGCAGAACTGTACACAGTGTTCATTACACCAGTGAATGTGTATTCACAATCAAACACCAATTTTCCATTTTGTCCACCTTAAATTGGTTTTTTTTCCTCTACTATTGGTGACCCTTGAGTTGACATTTTCCTGCAGCTATTTACCATAAGCCTAATATTTCACTCTCAAGTGGCTCTGGGTCCATCAGATCACATTTGAATTCCATCTGTGTCCCTGTGCAATACCTTACACCCATCCACACTTCCTCTTCCACCTCACTGCCCAGCTGCTCATTACTGAGACATCCTCCTGGGGCTCCTTGCATCTGGCCTCATCTTTTCCACTCAGAACAAAGCTTCTTCAGCTCTTCTTGTTATAAGCTTATTCCAGCTATTTTCCTGGATTGGCAACAAGAAGGTGCAGAAGGAGAGGTGGTTTTCCACAATCTTACTGCCACTGACTGGCAAGCACTCAGCAGCAGCAAGAAGCTCCCCAGCACATCTCTGATATCCAATGTCTGGAGGAGTGAATCCATCCCAGCTTGCCCTGGCACAGATCCCTCCTTCCATTACTGATGACATGGGAACATGAATCACAAAGCTTTAGGAGCTCAAGCAAGTTCCCTGTTCAGAGCAAGATATGCAGGTTAAAAGTTAATTTATCTTATTCAGCTTCCCAGCCTGTTTTGAATTAAAGGAATTAACCTGTGCCTTTGTTCTCCAGGAATGTAACAGGGATAATAACTTTTCTTCCCTCAAAAATAAGCAGATAAAATCCACTAATGGCTTTCAAGCACTCTGATCCCAGAACAAATAGGATCCTAATGTAAAGATCCTAATTTTCCTATGGGAGCATTTTCTGTACTTGTTGGTATTGTTACCTGGGGCCCAGGTAGATGTTTGCTTCCAGACAAGTCTTTACTTCAAGAATTTCTCCTGTTCCCCATAGAAATCCTGAGAGTTTGTTCTCTCCCCTCCTGTCTACTCCAGCATCAGTTCTATTGTATTTGTTTAATGGGGTTAATATGCTGCTGGTATAATAATGATCATGCACGGATGCAATTATTATGTGTGATTAATTCTGCAGCTGACGAGAAGCTTGGAGGACTTTTCTTAGGCGAGGGAATAACTTCACAATAGCTCTTCTCACATTGCATTACACACAGACATAAACCCCAAAAGAAATGCAGAAGGGAACAGAAGGAAGGCTGGATTAGAGGAGACAGAGCTGTACCCAGCAGAGCAGCTGATGAAGGTTTAGTATCACGTGGGCAGACACATTTCTGTGCTTTGTGTTTATGCACTGACTAGCTCAAATGATTCCTGGTCCATCACTGTGATCCCAAGGTATTACTTCCATGCACATAGTATGTAACTGGTTATAAATTTTTAATGACATTTCTGCCAGTGGTGTAAGCTTCTCTTGTTACTTTTTCTTTTTTATAATAAACACCCTTTAAACCAACACTGCATTTTGTTCTAAGATACAAGACCACAGGCCAAAATACGAACTCCTACAAAATGCCAGCACAGGTTAATGATTTTTAAAAGAAGCAAGGAGAATGAGGTGCACAGCACACAAGCCATTAGCACTAAAATACCAACAGTGTCCACATCTGACAAAACTGTAAGATGCTTTTCTGCACGAGGCTTTTTGACACACCCAGATAATTTACGGTCCAATGCTGGAGCCAAGCTCTTGAGTGCTCTTAAGTGCTCTGAGTGATAATGGATCTATCTGTGTGATCAGGGAATGTAAGCTTAGGCCTATAGCTCAGCATGTTCCCCAGAACAATACCTGCACACTTATCCTCCACCAAACTATTCTTAAATCCCATATTTGTAACCTGAAAGGAAGACACTGCCTGCATGATTTAAGTCTCTGTAAGCTGCCCAGCTGTTTTCTAATCCATTTATTACCCACATAAACACCCATGACTTTGACATTTACCTGACTCACTTTAAAGGTTTAAGTGAAGGAGAAAATGTGCCCAGGAAACACTGAGACAGGCACCATCTCCCTTTTCTTCTCTAGAAAACCATCTGTCTCAGCCTCTGCAGCCTTTAACACCTAAAATCACCAATGCTCCAGTCCAGTTCCTTCTCCTGCACATACTGAAATCCCTGAGCAAGGATGCCAAGGAGGCAGCACACATCCTGTGGGTGTACAGGTGGCAGAGAAGAGGGTCAAGGTGGGCAAAAAGCACGGCTGGAGACTTTGCTGTTGTGCAAAACTCCTTTGCCATTCCTAAAAGCTGACAGGACCACATATGGGTCCTGTACAGGGTCTGTGTGTGCAGGGCTGGGAATGGAGAGGGATTCTGCCCCTTGGCTTCTCTCAGTCTTACTATAAATGGCTGCCCTGAATAGCAGTTTGGGCTCAGTATTCAGGTGTTCCACAGGGCTATTATATCCAAAATTTCCATGATACTTTAAAGAAATCACTCCCTCTGAGCCTTGAACAATGGAAGCTCAAATAGGACCTATTTAAGAAAACACAAGGGCTCTTTGCTCACCCTCCAAAAAGGGGCTCAGCAGTTTTAGCTTTCACCTTGTGAAGGACTTACTGAGCATCTCATTCAGCCAGCAGCATGTTCCAGACATAACGAGGGCCCTCACAGCCCTGCTCTGCAGGGCCTGAGGGGTTATCAGTGAAATGCTACTCCAGCACCTGGGCAAGGGCTGGTTTCCTTCCTTCCCTTTAATTTCTTTCAGTTTCTGCTTCACTGGGTTTTCTTTTTCTCACCACACTACTGGGGGCTTTGCAGGCACAGAAGAACAATTCAGAAGGCAGAAGCAACAGTGTGACTTGGAAAAAAAGAAGTAGATTTTGATAGGTTCAGAGTTTGCTTATAATAAATTATGAATTTCTATGTTTCACCCAAAAGTTGATCTAGCATTGAGAGACATTGGTCTGTATCATCTGGATACAGAAAGGATGAAATTTCATTTATGTGGAAAAGAAGTGGGCATTACAGATGCCTGAAAATTAATTTGGACCTATATGGGGACTACTTTAATTTCATTTCTGAGAGTAAAACTTTAGGGTGTGTCTGCTCTGCGACATATATAAACAGGAGAGCTCTCTGCTGGGGCAAGGTTGCCTTTGTCTACCTTTGTTTTAAATTACTGAAAAAGTAATCAGTACTTAAAACCCAACTTAAAACCTTTTCTTAAAACATGTACATGCAAACAAGAATGTGGTTTTAAGTAACCCACGTGGAGAATTATGTTGTCACAGCTAATAAAAGACAGTGAGGGCTGCACAGGCTGGGGTCAGGTGTTTTACTGTTGCACAGATTTACCCTTAATTCTCAAGGGACTGACTGATGACACAGATTGTTTCTGTAACCTACTTAAGTACAGTTTAGTGGAAAACCTGACTTTTCGCATCCATGTAATGAAATATCTCATAAATATTTTGCTAGATCTGAACCAAAGAGGAGAGCGTCTTGCAAAAGCAATTTCAGTGTTTTGCAGCTTGAGATACTCTGTCCAATCCAGAGAACACAAGGAACTGCCAAAGGTTTACCAGCTTTGACAAGCAGGCACACATCACAGAAAGCAAACACACCAACACACAGAAAGGTGTTTTCACATTGCCATTAGCTGCTGGTTTCAGACAGGCAGAAGGACAGCAGGAGATGAATGAAGCACTGCTGCCCAACCCCTGAATGAGGCTGAACAAGGTTGAACAGCAGCAGCAGGTGACTGTGGCTGTGACTCCATCCCTGCCATGGACATTACCAGCACCGTCCTTCTCAAGGACTTTCTGCAGCTCAGGCACCAACTGCACCTACTCTGAGGCAATTCCCATTTTTTCCTTTAGGACTGGAACTCAGCTGTTGCAACAACTGTCAAATCTTCCTTCTGCAGAAGATTTCCTTGTGCAGCAGTGGAGAATTCACAGCAGGAGGGTCCCCAAAGGGCCCAGAGCACTGGGTCCCCCAGCACTCAGCAGCACAGCAAGGGGACTAAACCAAGTGTAGCCCTGGGAAACACTTAATGGCACCAGGCAGGGCCTCTGTGGGTCACATAGTGACATTTAAACACTTGGGAAGTGCTTCTCTCACTTTTTTAATGGATCTGCTGAGAATTACTCTGTGCATTGGGTACAACAGCACTTTTGCCATAATCAGATCTTGTAAAGGTATGAGCAATAAAGCAGATATTTGGGTATTACTGTCCCATCAGCTGAGCCTTCATATGATTCCCTCCAATTGCCCTGTAATATTTATCAGCACATGGATCTGAAATAATACTTAATTTTCAATCAGGTACTCTGCAAGGAAGCCCAGCTCAGAAACTCTGCAGTTGAGTTCCTTGAGTAAGAAAATAAAAAAGCAAATTTTGGCTCAATAGTGCTATTTAATAGCAGTGAAAGTACTTACCAGGTGGTCTATTAATTGCAAGGTTTCGGAAATGACTGCCTTTGATCATCTCCACTGACAGTCTCCCTGTAGTGGCATTGTATGACAGTCCCACGAGCAGCTCTGGCACCCCTCCATGTGACAGGGACTGTGTTGAGGAAGCGCTATCACTGTGAGAGATTGCTGACAGACTCAGCTGAGAATCTGCACTCTGCAGGGAAAGAGCACTGAGAGAATCATCAGGACATTCACCACCCCCCTCCTTAATTTATATCTCGTGGCCTTGTTTAGTAAGATGTCTCTGAAGAAATTACAATAACTGAGAATTAATTATGCTGGGGCACCAGAAGAATCAGAGCATCACTTTTACAAAAACACATCTCTGAACTTTCTCTTCAAAGATAAGGAACTCTGAGTGAAGTGTTATCACGAGTGTAAATCAAAGCCTCTGAGATGAGCAAACATCCTACTACACTAATACTCTGTGCATCTCCTTGATAATGGCTTTTGGATGGAATACACTTTTCAGTTTGCCAGTTTCTGGCCTTGTACTGTGAATTTTCTGACTTTCTCTCCTTGCTACCACAACGCTTTCACTATTCTCCAATTCACCTGGAGTAGGAGGTTTTATTCATTTCACGCGCACAGCCTCTCTCTGAGCTTTTTGTAGACAATGAATCACGACAGAGCTCATCTACACAAATTGATTGGCATAGCCAGAGCTGGATACAACTGTGATGTGCATGGAAAATCGAGAAGCAGCACAGCCAGTTCCTCTTCACATGACCCACCTCTCCACTTCCATCTGCCGTGTAGAGGAGCCTTACTAAGCATTCCTGGCAAGATGGAAACTGCACAGTGGAGATCCAAGAGCTGGTATCTAGGGCCAAATGAGGTAGCTGCTGCACTGGCAGTACCAGCACAGTGGTGCACAAGGACCTCATGGAAATTAAGACTAATTATGCCTTGGTGCTTCCCAGACCAGCCTACTGTATCTGAACAGCAGAGCATGTGGTGACTCGTGCAGATGTAGTAGATCCACACGGTTTTGTGGAAGCTTGCTAGCTGAGCTGTTAATAAAACACAGCTTTGCACAGGGAAGAAAAGCCCTGTGCTTCCCCTTATTGATAACTTCTGTAGTGACAGCAGGTCAGATCCGCCAGTCACACACACACTGAATGAAAGACTTCAGGAACACCATATTCACCAAAAACCAGTGTTATGGACTCCATCTGTCCTTCATCAAACTTACACTCAGGTTACTCCTTGGCTCCAAGATCAGCGTCACCTTCACCTCCCCTTCCTGGCTGATGCCGCTCAGGTAGAACAGCTGCTCCCCCATCATCTTCTCCCCAACCACCTTGTGCACGGCGTAGAGGCGGAAGCGAACGGCCTGGCTGCTCAGCTCCTGAGCTTCCAGCTTGCTGAAGGTGATTTTGTCCTGGAAGATGGGGATGGGTCCTCTCTGCACACTTGTCTTACCCCTCTGTCTCTTGCCCGGCATCAGAACCGCGTGCACTTGCCAGGTGTTCACGCCACTGCGGTCCTTGTCTGGGATGTCCCTGGCCTCCAGGACAGTGGCTATGAGCTTTTGGCTTGAGGATTTATAGGTGAAGATGACATCCAGGTCACCACATTTGCAGATGGGCTCATGGGCACCGCGATGGGCTGGCGCGATGCTCGCTTCGTTGTGCTCCTGCAAAGAGAAGGAAGAAGTGAAACCTTCACTGGAGTTCAACTGCTTCTATGATTCCAAATCCATTTAAAAAGAAATTTTTCTCCTCACTTGTGCCTGCAAGCATAGGCAGTTCCTGTGTGATTTATGGATCCCACTATTTCTGGAAAGGCCAATGATTAATTGCCTGATTTTGTGTAATAGTCCCCATAAGCTCTAGTAAGCAACAGCATTTGTTGAAACATTTCCAGCAAAAAGTTTCATCAATATTTAAGTGTTTTGCAGGAGATGGTTAATTTGGCAAACATTCTACATAGAGAAAAACTAAACAAAAGGATTTTTACATTTCATTCAGGTCAATATTGAGGCACCAGCAAAACATTTTGACCTACTTAACCTGTTATTTTGAACATACACTGGAATTGTTTTTCAAGGTGGATTTTTTTTTTTACATTATTAAGATCAAACAATTCAGCCGAATCTGCAAACTTTTTTGATATTTTGTTCTGCTAGAAATTAAAAAAAAAAAAACAACAAAAAACTGTGTTCAATTTGAAGAGGAAATCACCATGTCAGAATTTCTTGTGGAATGGAAATTCCATTTCTAGATGCTATCCCGTAATTCAATAGTTTTTCTATTGCAAAAGCAATGATAATGGAGAAAAGCAGTCTGATTAAATACATATTGATTCTTTATACCCTTCTAAAATCTCCCAAGAGAGGCATCTGTTCCTTCTGTTCAGTTTGGGTACTAATACATTCAGAATAAAAAATTCAAAATAAACAATCACAACATGTGCAGACCAATTCACACACAATCTTTTACCTACTTTTAAAACAAAAACCATCTTGATAAAACAAGATAAAACCATGGATGCTCACCTTACCTTTTGCTGAGTGGGTGTGTGGGTTTCTGTTCAACAGTGCTTTTTTATCTTAGAGCTAGAATGTGCTTCATATGATAAAGGGGTTGCTATAGTGATCAATGATTTGTATTTAAACATGAGTATACACTGTACTAGGGAAAGATTTTCAGTTAATAGCCAGAAGGTGAATTAAGGCCTGTCACCACCATCTGAGTCACCCTCCTCCTCAAACATTTATCTTCTTTTCACATTTCAAGTAACACTTCTTTCCAACACAGGAATCTTTTTGTTCAGAGAACAGATGATGGGCCATGGGACGTCTGGTGTTAAGTCCCTTCTGAAGTGTCTGGGGTGGTGTGTCTCAAACAGGGCCTCAGATAAACATCTAAATTTTTGTTTACTTCCTGTCAATCTACTTTTGAAGTGCTCAGATTCATCTGCCATGACATGCAAAGCTCCAGATTTTCACATTTTTCAGAGGTGTTTAAGACTTGTGCGTATGAACACAAAAGTCCAAGCGTGCAGATTAGAGACCAGCTGTTGTATGTCTTGCAGAAGTAATGTCAAAGGGAGAACAACACACCAAATTACTTGCTTGGCTACAGAAACACCTCTCTGTATGAACAGCAGGCTGCTAAAAACAAAAATACAAGGCAGGCCAGGTTGCCTGGAGAGAGCGTGGAGTTACAAAAATGTGAAGTGTTCCTGTGTAGCAGTCAAGTTATTTCTGTCTGTCTGATAAAATAATATTCAATATGGGATGGGATTGTGCTTGACTCGTATTTCCCTCCACATTTTCATCCCTCCACACTTTTATCTGTGAGTTTGAGTTTGAATCAAGGCACGTTTAAGGACTGCTGCTAAAGTGTGGAGACAACCGTGCTTGAGGCATAGCTTTGCTTTCATGTCTGAGCCAGAAAATGTGAACTCCAGTGCATCAGCACAAACCCACAGGAATGAAAATCCTAGAGTCACTTTCCTGCCTGAGCATATCACTTTCTGCAGTGTGTAAGGCAGACTGAAGGTCAGATGTCTGCATTTTGACCTAACAGACAGAAAATATTTGGATTTCAGGAAATCTCAAATTGTGCTACTAGAGCTGTGGCCAGATCCACTGCAGAGAAAACTGCATGAACTGGAGGCGAAGAGGGAAAGAGAAATGTCAAACTCCTTGGCAGTAAGATTTCCATGGGAAACCAAGCTTTGGAGACCTCATGGCCTGGCCCTTCCTGAGAGCACTGTGCTATCCAGAACTCACCCCCATGCAGGTTTGCTACACATCACAAAGAGAGGGCAGATCCTCCGTCTGTGGAAGTCATTGACAGAATTCCCCTCTGCCTTTGGAGCCCAGCTGGGCTGTGAGTGATTTGTGAATGTGCTGGTTATGTAGACACTTGAATTGGAATCCAAGGAAAGATTTGGGTTTAGATGCTCTATCTGAGTTTTTTTCTTTCCCTCTTCCCACCACAGTTATTGAGAGGCCAAGCCAAGTATCCTCATTGATACTGTACATTTAACCCTGTCATTCAGGACAGCCAACATCCACTTCACTAAGTAAAATAAGTCCATTTCTGCCAGAGAAACCTGAAAGAGCAGCTAATTATGGACAAGGCTTGAAATGGTACTTGTGGTTCCACTGCAGGAGCATAAAATTACCATTTCTGTCTCTAAAGAGAGGTCCTTTGAGTGAAGCATAATAACACTTGGACATTTCTGGCATGTCAGAACATTTAGTTCCTGCAATAAAAAGTCTTTCATCAATCCACACAATACCTTTGAATGAGAAGCTGCTTGTAAGAGATAAACTGTGTCTTGGGCATTTCTGCTCCAGTATGCTGGAACCCTTCTTTGCATTTTTAAAATGTAGACACCAGGAGCAAAATGAGCCATGCATTCCAAAGAAATACAAGAGGACACCGGAGACACTGCGGCACACGTGAACCATGGCAAAGCACATCAAACGTGGAAAAGAAGAAATGAGCCTCAGATGGGGCTCAGAGGGCAGACAGAGTGTGTCAGAAACACAGCAAAGAGAGGGCAGGGCTGCAGGCACACACAGCTGCCACGTGGTGAATGGTGTTTTGTGGGATTGGGTTGTGCAGAAAACCAAAATGCTGCTCCAAACCCCCCTCAGGGCTGGAGCATCTGCACCAAGAACTGCCTTCCAGCTCTGAACTGGCTGCAGGCAGCCTGCTCCAAGGATAGGGACCTTCCCTCAAAGCCTTGTTGCTCAGAGTCTGATGGAGGTATGGATTTCCACAGCTCTCTTTTAACTCAGGGAGAAGATATGACCTTTGTGCTGTTCTTTTAATATGTCTGATGCAGGCTGATATTTTCCCAGAAATTTAATCCTGTGGTAAGATAACGAAAATCAACTTATCATGCAGAGAGATTAGAAGAGAAAAGGGGGATGCAAAGTCATAAGGTGTTTATAATGCCTTAAAATCTGAAATGTTTCCTTGAGGATTCAAAATAAAATAAAGCTGAGGGAAAGCAGACTCGGGTTCTCTCCTTCCCTAAAAGTTTGCATGGTATCACTGGGGACAAGATTATGGTCACTTGGCCAGGTCACAGGCCAGCCCCCACCATTTGCCTCAAGCTTTTCAGATTATTCCCATTGTCTGAGTCATAGAAATTACCTGGAAAAAGAGGCAGATCTGACCCAGTGACCACACACCGTGTCCTGGGACACACCCTGCACCTGCAGCCAGTAACCAAGCCCTGGGCCACCACAGAGAGCTCTTTGCTAAATGGCAGCAAATGCTGCTGGGTAGCTAAAGTTCCAATTTCAGTTCAGAGACTGCAGTCAGAAATCAAGCAATGGAAGCGTTTCTGTGAATCAGTGTTAGTAGCAAGAGGTAAAATACCAGGAAAAAGGGGAAACACAAAGGAAGAGGTGTATGCTCATGCACACAAGCACACAGAAGCACCATCATCTTGTGCTGCACTGATCAATTTTTCACTTCATTTCTCCTCTAACCTTTTTTGGCCCCCAATATCCTTCAAAAGCTTTCACCATGTGTAATAAATGACAATCCACTGTACCTCAGGGCTCCAAGCTGATGAGCTGTCAGTAGCATCATTTACTTCCAATCCCTGGCTGGCAAATGCTGTCTCCATTTCCAGACGTCCTTCCCTGTGTGACTGGCTGACACCATCCCCAGTTCTGGGCTCCATCCTGGGCCCTTTGTGCTGCCCAGTGCCCTTACTCCTGGTTGTTGTTCTTGAATCAACAGATACGTGGTCATCTTCACGACAGGAAAGGTTGTCTTGGTAACTCAGTTGGCTTAGTCCATCCAGATCTAACAATTTTCAGCAAGAAAACAATTTCAGAGGGATTAGAACAAATTCCTCCCCCTTCCAAAACGTGCCTGTCTTTCCTTTCTTTTATTTTTTTTCTAACTTACCCCTAATCTTCAGTGCTTACAATAGACAGTTTCTGTTTCTTACAGCACTGAACCTATAAAAGAGCCAATCCTGTTTAAATCAGCATTTTATAGAGGGGACATGGCTATTTCTCACCCCATCGTGAACTGAGAAACCCATCGCCTTTACTTGAACAAGTTATCCACAAAATGGAAGTGTCAGTGGAGTGTCTGGGATATTCAAGTGCAGACCCAAAGCAATCTCTTCTATGAAAACACAAATCAAACTACAGAAAAGCACAGCAGAGGCCTGATGAACAGGTATCACCATTTCCTCCTGGTCAGGAGGAGGAGATGACAAGGTTTAGCATTGTCCTCAAGAGCATGGTGCTGGTGAGGAAAGCAGCTTCACAGACATAACAGAGGGCCAGCATTACCCTCTCACCCATCCCTGAGAGCTTAGGTGAGCATGGCCAGCTCCAAAAACCAACTAGGAATCTCTAAAATCTGTGCTTGGGCTGAATTGTCCTCCCAAGGACGACTGAGGGGAGATGTGTTACCTAATTTCCTAACTGCTTTTATTAGTTTCAATTAATCTTGTCCTACACACACGTACTCCATGGGCTGGAGTAAGCTTCATTAATGAGAATAAAATAATCCTCTCTGCTTCACACCACAGGTTCCTTTTCTACACCACTGAAATCTCTACTATGAACACAGGGCGCTTTTTTCTACTTGAAAGCACCAGTGAGAGCTCTCTGGGTGGAGCAGCACAGATAACTACATGTCCAGGGACGTGTAATTAATGATGAAAAAACACCATGATTTGGCCTTGGATGTGTTCTGCAAGCACTTTCAGAAGAAAACCAGGGACATTCCTCCTCCTAATGCATCTCATGATGAGCCTTGCTTCAGGAACATGGAAAGACAGATTCTGCCTTCATCTCTTTCAAATAAGCAAAAAGCAGTCACAGTGAAGGAATGAGCTGTACTTCCAGACAGCTGATGACAGCAATGAAAACATAACAATCTCCTTTGCAAACAGAGCTATTTGGGGTTTAAAGGTTTCACAGAGGAAGGTGAGGTTGGAAGGAGCCTCTGGAAGTCATCTTGTCCCCTCCCCTGCTCAAGAAGGGCTTGCTTTGTTCCTGTGAAGGTCACTACTAAAGAACAGTAATTTTTTTTTTCAAATTTTGTCTCAAATTCAAATCTTAAAAAATAGTATTAATTACTGTGTTTAATAGAAAACTATTAGTTTGCTTTTGCTAAATGAATCTATGTTTTTATTCCCTGTCTGATAAATGAGATCAAGAATCTGGTGGTAACTGACATGGAGAAGGCTGAAGTGCCCAAGAACTTTTTGTGTCTCAGTTTTCACTGTCAGCTGCTTGTCCCACATCTCTCGAGTCTGTGAATCTCCAGGCAGGGACTGGAGGAATGAAGTCCCACCCATCTTAGGAGAAAATCAGGTCTGAGAGCCTTGAACATCCACAGATCCATGGCACCTGATGAGATGCATTCCAGGATCTTGAGGGAACTGACTCATGCAGGACAGACGTGGACTTGCTAGAGCAGGTCCAAAGCAGGGCCATGAAAATTGTCTGAGGGCTGAAACACCTTTTGCATGAGGACAGGCTGAGAGACTTGGGGTTGCTCCTCCTGGAGAGCAGAAGGGGTCAGGAAGACCTTATTGCTGCTTTTCAGCACTTGAAGGGGGATTACAAGAAGGAAGGAGAGACACTTTGTGCCAAGGCCTGTAGTGACAGGGCAAGGGTAATATTTTAAACTGAAACAGGTGAATTTAGGTTGGATACAGGGAGGAAATTCTTTCCTGTGAGGTGGTGAGACCACTGGCACTGGCTGATCAGAGAAGCTGTGGGTACCCAGCTTTGGATGTGTTCAAGGCCAGGCTGGATGTGACTCTGAATAACTTGATCAAGGCAGGGGGATCGAACTAGATAAATTTCAAAAGTCCTTTCCAACCTGAGCCATTCTATGATCCTCTACACATCTCTCTGTCTTAGAACAAAAAGCCCAAATATTTATGAGTAGAAGAAATTCTATGTTTGGCATTATCAGCAAATATACTGTTTCTGATGCTTATCTGCTCCACACACACACGCAGAATTCCAACAAGAGGAGTGGGGATTATACTCAGGAACATTTCCTGCAGGTGAACAGAAGTCCTTATTCCTGTCCTTGGCTGCTTTTTCCATTTAAGAACTCAGAAATTAGGAGAATAACTTTATCCCCTTTCTTCAACTATGAACAATCTCCACTCTCCCTCCCAGTAAAATGCTTCAAGCACAGGCACTTCAACCAAGAAGTCTGAGAGCATCTCACAGCTTCGTAATTATGATCCTCTTCCTCAGGGGAGATGGTCCTTCAGGAGCAAAGAGGGATCCAAATTCATATCTCTCAAATTCCAGGTGAATGCTCTTCTCACTCCCTTCTGAAATGTAAAACCCATCTCTTCTCCTCCTGTTCATCCTCCCATCTGGCAGACCCAGTTCTGAACTGAGAGCCCTCATTGTCTCACCTCTGCCCTGAGCTGAAAGTCTTCAGTGTGGGTAGAAAGTATTTTTTTTTTTGCCATAACTCCCCTTCTTCTCTACAGTCAGAAAACAGAAAGAACTCAACAAAAGAGCATAAGCAAGAAATAAAATAACAGAAATTCCACGCTTTTACTGAGACTGAATGGATACAGGCACTCCTTAAGGCATTTAATTAGCAAGCCAATGTCTAATACACTTTTAAACAGTGGGTCATCCATCAAAGCACACACCACACAGCAGGCCTTCAGAATAAAATGCTTCTGTAGTAAGAAATTATCCTCACACAATTGTCTTGTGGGTTTGACTCCTGCTGGGATAATATCTAGATCAATAATAGAGGAATTTTCAAAAACTACATTAAAGCCATAAAAGTCTACCCGTAACAGGAGAACTCCAGAAATATATTAATAGAGCAAGCCATCTCCCTGAGACTCAGGCACAAAATGAATGTGTTAGGAAAGCAAATGTAGTATTCAGGGGAAGTAAAGAAAAAAGGTGATTCACCCAAACCAATCAGAGAAACAGTCTGGCTTTTTCTTTAAATTTAGAGCAGTTTGGTAAGAGATAATCACGTATAAATACCAGTATTAGACGATCATTACAGGTAATAGACCGACCACACAGACTAGAACAACTACACCTCTCCAATTACATCCGTTCCAACATTATATTCACAAAATAAATGTTGAAAACAAAAGTTCCTCCCGTAAAGGAAAAGGTCAGAGCAGTAAAATGCCTGTAATTTACCTGAGAGATCTTTAAGGAAGAAAATGTCAACCGTCTTATGAATACCTGACGTGCATAAACAGCACAGCATCAGGGACAGAGGTTGAGACAGCATTATCTGAACTTTAATTAGCCAAGATTCCCTGCAGAGCAATAGCAGACAATTCAATGATTAAGGGCAGATAGTAGTGTACAACGAAAAATGTGATTTTCCTTAAGAATTCTGTCTCCCAAACTTTCCCTTTCAGGTCATATGTTCACAATCCAGGAAGGAGGCAGGGGGGGATACTGGGTAGCAGAAATCATCAATAAATCAGAAAAGCCTGTGTTCAGGGTTGGAGAACTGTGAAAAAACTGTCGGATGAAAGCATGAGCATGACCTCCTAAAAGAACCCTAACAGGAACTGGGATATAGAAGCATGTCTCCAAAGATACAAGGAATGCTTGGCACATCCAACACTGAAAACCAGGCTGGAAAATGTTGTACAGTCCCTCCTCACATTGGCAGGCAAATGTTCTGGCTAATTTACAGTACCTTTCTTTTTTTTTTTTTCAATGACACACAATCTCTCAGTTCTATGAATCTTTATATTGTGCCAAAGAAACGTCCTGAGAGGTCTCATCACTACCTAAAACCCAACTGCCAGAGTTAAAAGATGGGGACAGGTAGATCTTGCTAAATTAGCACCACACAGCTCATTAACCAGCAAGAAACATAGATGAAGAATTTATATGTGCCTGTTACCTATGCTAACCAAGGCTATGTTTGCTATGTGAACTCCGAGGAATCATTCTGCTTCTGTGCAAAAAGAAAAATTAAAATTTAAAAAAAAATTAAGAAGCATGTATTTGCTTTGAAAGAAAGAAATTAGATCCCTTCTTTAACCTGTATATAAACTCATGATGAAAGTTAAGAACCTGTTTAAATATAGTCCAGAGGAAGAAAGGATTTCAGGATGGACCTAGGTACCTCTGGACCTGAAATCCTCCTAGCTACAAGCAGTGATTTTCCAAACCCCTTTTCCTATAAGACAGCAGAGCTATGGCTTAGTGGGCCTGAGGCACATTTGCTCTCACACAGCAGCAATTCTTTTGCCTGGCCCCCGCTACAGCCCCAGTTCCAAACCACTCTGCAGTACCCCTGAACCCCTTGCACTGAGACAAACCCACAGGGACACCAAGCAGTGCTCCTGCCCCTGCTTATTTTGAGATTAGCCACCAAAAGAGCACTAAAAAACTTCACAGAAGAGCCTCAAAGGAGCAGAATCATTATCTAATTACAATAAATCTAAACAAAAATGGCTTGTAAATTTTAGGGGTTAAAGAGAAAAAGGATCTTCCATTTCAAGTGACATTATGCAATCAGGCCAAGATTGTTTAATTTACCACATGCTGGGTAATAGTCTGAGAAGGCTCCATGTTTCCAGAACTAAAATGGGCTCTTTATTAACAGGGTGATTTGCAGAGAGGCTGTGGGCAGAGCTGGCATTCGAGCCTGTTCAACTCCCCAGAGCATCCTCCAAACACTTCCTTCACACTGTGTGCACTCCAGGATCTATTCAGCTTAATACAGAGACTTTTTAACAGGTGAAAAGTTAAAGCTAAATGAGTCCAAAGTGCAGACTCTCATGACAGTGAAAACAGAAGCCGAGGGTC